ATAAATTTTATCTTTAAATCTTCTTGTTGATCACATGCACATATAGTTTACACTCCAATAAATAAAAAATCAACCTGTTTGTGTCTTTCTTTTTGCTTGTCACCATAATCCTTGAGGTCTTTGATAAGATCTTGAAATCTTGTAACAACTTGTAAATGTGCATTGGCAAGCTTCTCGGTTGCAACCCGTAAGACTCCCCAGAGAGGCTCAAAGGTGCTGAAAAATATAAATAATATCACATTTGCAAATCAGAAAAAAGAGGACATTATTTCCATTGCTTTAATTAATGGGGATTTTGTTGCAGCAAGTTTACACATGCTGCAGCGTTTTTCCCTAAATCAGTAAAGAAAATGTGATTGAAACTTTCAATCAACAAAAAACCAAAGTTGCATAGTAATTCAATATGTCTCTTAAAGTAATTTAAAACCTTTCTTCAACACTTTTATAGCAGTTACTAAAATTCTAGATTTAAGGAGTAACAATTCAGCATCATTTATCATTCTTATCAAATATATCATAATATCTAACATTCTGACTGGTGATGCCCAGATAAACAGATACTTGGTAATCTTTTACACATTTCATAATTTCATTAGACTGAGAAATATTTTAAAATATGATATTTGATATATTTTTTAAATTTTCACTTCCAGCAAAAGTTTGAAATTATTTTAAACAGACTTTCTTTTTATTAAGCTCTTTAAAAAGAAATGTCAATTTGGCTTTGTGTTACAGATTCTAGGCTTTTTATCCTAACAGCAGAAATAATTATGTTCCAGTTCAGAACTATTTTCAATAAACATTGTATGAAATGTATTTTTTTAAAATGTTTTTTTGTTGAAACAAAAATGAAATGTTTGTTCCATTTTAGAGTTTTATTAGGACTAATTAAGGCAGAAAGCAGCTGTATATTAATCCCTGCCAGTTTGCAACCATTATAGCCATTTATTAACTGGATTGCCTTCTGAAAAGCAGAAAATACAATTATGTAAATTTCTTAAAATGTATTTTTCAAACGTGTGGTCTGCTATTGAATGGAAAAACATTACCCAGACTTTTCATTTCAATTTTGAACATTTTCACACATACATATACAAGATGATTGGAAACTTATGCTTTTTTGCATGAATATTCTAAACTTAACTGGTGATGACTATATTTCAAACTCTTCTGCAAAATCAGGCAAACCTACATGTAGGTTCAAAAGCTACATCATTGCACATATATAGATTGTCCTAGCTTCAATTTCCCCTTCTTAGAGAAAAACCCTTTAAACTTTCTCAACTTGAGAAAGAGTAGAAATTGGGCCACAGATTCCAATCTTGCTGTGAAAGGCCACCTTCTCTGACCTGACTAAGAGATGGCCATGATACAAAATTGCCTCAAATGGTGAAATTTTCTAAAATATACACCAGGATTTCCATAAGAGCTGGCAAAAACCAGCAAAATTCCTGTTCTATGTAATGCAAAATTGCCACCTATTTCCTCTGTAATTAACAAAGCTGGAGTAAGGATCAAACTTCCATAAGCCACCTACTGTGTAGTTTTTGCCTTTTAGTTAAAAACCTTATTGAAACCTCAGCACTTAAGGTGAATGAGGTTTGAAACCAAAAATGGAAATTCTCCCTAGTAATATTCACTTTTTGAAATCTCTGATATTTTATTCCTCCACCAGAGGTCACCCAGAAGATGCTTGCTATATTATTGGTACTATACATGTAATAGATACCCCAAGGTCATGTTTTGTTACCACAGAACACAACACTTGTAAAGTTATTATGATATGAAAGCCTCTCTGATAGCATTTGTTGGGACTTTCTGGGTTATATATTCACCAAACAGTTTCTTGCTGATTTACTGTAATCCCTACCATAGAACTACCATGTGAAGATATTTTTAAATACTGTTACACAAATCATATTTTAGGATAGGTTTCAACCAATACATTACTGATGACAGCCTAAGTTTGAATCTGTCTTATTTCAAAATCTACAATTGTAAGTTTCTTATCTCACTCACTGTTTGGCAGAATATTTTCTTTGTGCCATACATGCTTCAACAATTGACATCACAAATTAAATTTATCTACATAAAACTTATTAAACACATTTAAATATTTCTAAAGAGCTAAAAGGAAAGAAATCTCTTCCCTGTAATTGAATGTCCACAACAAAAAATAACAATATGTGTACTTATGTCCTCAATGTGTGTTCTCAGACACAGACAAGGGAAAACAGTACTGAGAAATCTTCTAAAAAGGTTTTTTTCCCTACTAGATGTAGATAAAGCGATAAAAAATATATTTTATTACAATCATCATTAGTTCACCCTGTAAGAATCTGAGAATTCACCTGGATTACTGCAACCGAGGTTTTGAAATTGGCCCGTTTCTACCAAAGTTGATGCGCGAGCATACCACAAAGAAATAAACAACATTCAGAAAATAATAAAAAGCTAGTGGATTTGGTGTAAAGGGTGAAATTCTCAGCTAAACTGGTCAACTACGGTTTCCAAATACGGTATCTTGCTCAAAGTTGTTGATGTAAACAGAATAAATTCGCACGGAGTATGACAGCCCATTGTGGTTATTTTAAAACACATTCAAATTTAATTTATAATTTTTGGTTTCTATTATGATACAATTTCTACAGTAAGGGGAGAAACAGCCACTTTTCCCCGCCTAAACTTCGCCAACCCTGTAGGATAACATTACGCACTCATGGACAAGCAAGAGCTTATATCGGCAAAAAATTTCAAGCTCCCGTCCTCCGAAAGCACAACAATTTCAAACCACAAAATTTTTTAATCCATTACGAACAACATTAACATGGACAGCTTCCTCTGACTTACCCTAGCTGTGTCACTTGAGTTGCAGATTTCGCTAATTTCAGGAGTGATTTAGCATAGACTTCCTCTACAGCAGATCTGAAAGTCGAAGGTAGAATTTGAAATTGCTAATAATCATACATTAAACACATCTCGACCACAAAGTTCTCACGAACAAAATTTTAGCCAAACATTGTGCCCACCTTTCGCGTAAAAATTCAACAAGCTTACAGCTTGCATTGTTTCCATATTTCATGTTATGATAGAGCACGTCGAATCCAGCATTTCTTTCCCCCTGAAAGCCGTGAAAATAAAGAAAGAAATTATTGTAGCATCACGCTCCGGATGTCAAGCAGCTACATCGACGATGCACTGGAAAACGCTAATTTCAAATGATAAACACACCCAAAAATGGTCCTCAAATAGCACCATTTTCTATCTCAAGTCTAGAACCTGGTTGTCAATCCTTAAATATATCATTTAGGTTACGAGAAGGTATCCACCAACAACATGGCAGCTTCGCGAGCGGAAGAAGCCGTCAACAGGCATCTCCAGTTTTTTCGCAGTCACCATGGACGCGATGACCTGGGACGATCTGTGGGAGATTTGTCTCTGATTGTCTCTTACAGTGTAAGAGTTATTGAAAATTAGCAAATTTTACTCCACCACTTCTTTCTCCAAAGTATCAATAAAGCTCTTTAAATTTAATTACTTAACATTTTCCACTGAAAGATGCCATTTAACCCCAAAGTGGCAGTATATATCATTAAGCTAAAAGAACTCGTTCGCGTTGTTTCCTCCTGTTTCAAGGAATTTAAACTGTAATGAGCTGGTCTGAGTAATTATAAATTTTACACCATTGAATTAGGTAAAGAAATTGTGAAAGGTAGATTGATTGTTCATGGCTCTAAAATTGGTTATTTGTAAGATCAGTAAACTTGTGATATCACCGCTGAAAACCTCCTGGCCCTGATATAACAGACAATTCAAAACAAACAAACAAACAAACTACATAGCCCGGTTCCCTCCTGAATGCGCCAAAACAACAACGATGGCGATAATGACAACAAAAACTACAACTAAAAAGTGAGTCAAATTTTTGCTGAGAGAAACTTAAGATAAGAGATCTTTCTCTTACCTGGACTGCATTAGACGAGAGTTTTCTCCGTTGTTTGATAGCACATTCAGTTTCTGTTGTCGGACTCTTTGGCGGCCTCGCAACCCGGGAAAAAAGATTGCTCAAAGATGCTAAGGAATTAATCATTTCTGGGCTTCCTTTCTTTCTGTTGATTTTCTTGGTCAAATTCATAATTTTTAACTCATTTCTTGGGTTTTCATGTGACACAATAGTGCTGCTGATCTTTGAAGGATCGTCAACGAGTGAAGTTTGGTTTGACTCTTCAGATGGTGAGAGTCTTTCTTCAACATCTTCGATATCAGACAGGAGCTCTTCCTCTTCACAAGAAAGTATTTTCGCACTGTGGCCAGTGAACAAGGAGGCTAGTGAATCTCTACGTTTCATCCTCTGGCCCCACAATAGCCATTTTAAAATTATCTTTCTAACTCTCCTGTAGACTTTCTCAATTAATGTTTTTGAAAAAGTCACATCGTATACTTGATTTGTTTAACTGTTCAATATCGACACATTCTAGATGAAAAACGTTTTGAAGTTTTCTCTCGAAAATGAAAGCTGAAGTTTTGGAACATTTAGCTGTTCTTAATGCAGTCGTAGCTTGTTGTAGCTTGGATGTTTTGCTGACATTTTCATGCGTAAAATGAGTTTACTTTGAGTGAAACTGTACGAAAATTGTTAGAATCCCGGATGTCAGACCCCTTGACAAGGGACTGCGAGAGGTGTTCAGCCGTATTTCACTTTATGGCCGTCATAGCTACAGCGTGGGTCGACTAGAATTGAGAGAGATGGACTAAAACTTTGATTCGATCATTATGAGATTTCGGCATTTTCTGGGAAATTTTCCGTTTTTTTTTTCAACACATGAATATTAAAGTCAATGTACTTAATTGTGAAGGAATACGTTCACCGAGACTAAGAGGGCCTAAGGTCCAAAAATTTCCGTCGCATCTTCGTACTTCTTCGGAGAATTCCCGAGACTTAATCGTGCATACCAGTCGGACTCCGAAGGTTTTAAGTGTGTAGTTCCGCATTGGCTCGATTGTCTCACATGTTTCACTGCATAGCTCGACAGTGTTTCGAGCTGAATTCATAACATGGCAAGGACATTCCCCTACAATCTTCGTTCAATACTTTTCCTGTGGATAGCTCTGGGTTACAGTGAGGGTGAGTTACCGAACTAACAACTGTGTAGATATTCACGTTGACGAAGGGCAAACGCTCGACTGAAACGTCGGCCTTAGAAAATACTTACGGTGGCCAATTTACATCATTAACTCAATTGACAAAACCAAATTATCTTGTTATACCCCAACTAACGCAACACTTCACATGAAAAAGTTACCCCCACACTTTGGAAATTTACCCCCACTATTCGGCAGCTGTATATGTTTGTGTCTGGAGTAAGTTGAGTTTCGCACGTGTTCACGTGACAATAATAATAATGGAAGATAGATGATCGTCTTTTCACGAGCGTAGGACGAAGAAAAAATCTGAATCTCCATGAGGAATGGAACCTCAGACCTTTGGATTCCGCGCTCCGGAGACTCGGAGACTCTACCGCAGACTCGCCACAGAGACTCTAGTTTGTATGACACACAGAGTTACAAACATGACTCTATCGACATTGCTGATCCTGGCTGTACGCAAGACGCTTGTCACATGAAATTCCTAATAGACCTTGCTCACCGTAGAGTCTCTGTGGCTCAGTGGTAGGGCATCGGAGAGCGGAATCCGAAGGTCTGAGATTCGATTCCTCAGAATTCAAAAACACCTTTCTCTATTTCTCTAACGAGCTCAAAACTTACCATTTCTCTTATTCTATTTACAAATAATAATAGAGTCTGTGAATGAATGAAAATCACTTATGTGAACTGCGGCTTAAGCAATGACCATAAAGCGATCTTCGCAGTCATCAATACTACTTAAGTAGTAGTGAAAATATGGCCTTAAAAAAATTCAGGCCTGTAGTAGCTCAATCTCAATGAAAACCCAGAAGAATCTTAAAAGGATAACTGAATTAATTCGCGTTGTAATCTTTTTACCTGTTCAGTATTCAGTGGTAACTAAATTAGGCACTAGCTTTGTTTGTGGTTATTTGACATTTGGGATACATTTCCGGCCGAGGGCTGATATCACTGTCTAATTGAGCGAAAAACTGATTATAGTAAAGTATTACTAGAGTTGTTAGGTCCAGAAAACAAAAATCAGCCAGGCGGGAAATTTCTGTTTCTTTGCGCTTTCGATTATGTCTGGAATTCGATGCGAGATTCCATGAAACCTTTGAGACAAGGAGCGACTTGTAGTTATATTGAAACAAAGAAGAACTTTGTCCGACTTCAAGTGATATTGATATTTTATATTAATATCGAGCTGCAAATGATGTTTATTAAGTATTTCAAATTGAAGAAGAACAATGTTTTGAGCGGCGATCATGCGAAAGAGTTATTGTTTGCATCAGGTATCGAAAATTACTAGGCATGTACTTAAGTTTAAACCCAGATACGGCAAAAAGACATTATCGATCAAAACAAAACCACTGAAGCCATCAAAGCTACCAAAACAAACAACTACAAGGATTGAAACGAGCGATGGGAAAAAGACAATTAACTTGTTACGATGCTTGCCTTCGTGCTGAATACAGTTAAACTCCAGAGTTCTATAAGGTAATATCTGTCCAACATACATTCACATTTTCTTCAATTATCAACAGCGGCATTAACATGGCCCACTGGGACATATGGTCTACCTAGAGCAAAAGTTGGCTGTCCTGTGACAGTGAATTCCACGGTATGGGCCACAGGATGGCGATTTGAAGACACTGAGGACTATAAAAATTCAAATAACAACTCTAAATCGCCGAGTTTTCATCTTGATACAGAGGTTGGCATAGATGTTAACAGAACGTTCTGTATTAAGACAAAGGACATCATCCCTGAGGAGGCTGGCATGTGGCCACAAGGTAAGTGATATACAATCAAACTGCAAAAAAATAAAGACCAGTGAAGATGTAGACTTTGAGAGGCCACATCCTTCCCCCTAGAAAATCGTGACGTATATTTTCAATCTTTTGCAAGGAAATAAATGCTCATTGTCAAACCATTTCGCAACAATACTCGCTTTGCCACTCACCTCCTCTTCGTTTTCTCTATTAGTGTGGGGTTGGAGGGGAGGGAGGGTATGGCTTCTCGTAAGTTAGCAAAAATACTGTGTTTTCCAGAGAAGCCTTTGATACTACAGAAATACCAAAATAACAAAAAAAATTGCAATTGAGAATAAGGTGTTTCCTTCTAAAGATGTTCTGGGATATCAGGCTGCCCAGGGGTTCGCTAGCACCTGCATGGGTGGGGTCACCATATTGCTGGTTCCCTTCGTTTGACCTCCTCCTCAAGGGATGAATGAAGAAAGTTGCTAAGGATACTTCCTTGACAAAATACGAAATGAGGAGCAATAATCCCAGTTGCCTCTCGGCAAACAATCAGTGGCCTACAAAAAAACTATTGAATTTAACACTCCTTAAGGTTATGGACCATGAGACTCCGTGACCCTGTACCTTCTGTTTTCCAGTCTGCCTTTTAGTTCGTTGAAACATATACGAAAGAAAGCTTAAATTCCTATAAGTTTGCAGAGATTGAAAGATATTTGTTATGATTATTTCCTTAAGGCAGATATTGTATTTACAAGAAAGGCGATTGCCCCAAAGGACTGAAAGAAGGTTACGTATTTTGGGACGACGAAAACTATAAGAACATCAACGATCAAGGAGGGACACTTCCTGATGGCAAATACGACAAGGACACTTCTATATACTATTGTTGCAGCACCGACGGTGACAAATTTAAGCCCATCGCCCTCCCCCTAATCAGTCCGTTTTACCTTATGCCTTTCAACACGTCAGAGTGCCAGCGCGTGCAAGGCGCCATTGCCACAGAGGAGTACATTGCATTTGACTCTGAAGATAACAACAACCAAAATGCGCGTAATGGAAGCTATCCCTTCGGACCAGGAGGGAGGAATCACCGAGTCTATTATTGTTATTATGAAGGTAAGGAGTTAATGTCAGTATCTGTGTAACTACCCTCCCTTAACAACTGATGGCAAGTTAGGGGTTGAAGTTGGGTTAAAGTTGGTTTAGGGGAGGGGTAGGTGCGAACTTGTTCACATCACGAAATTGAACCAAGATAAGTTTTGTAGCAAGAACATTAGCACGTTGTGTAGGCATATCGTAAAAGTAAACACTTTTCAAAATTATCCAATGTGAATTTAGCGTAAGTACGCAAGGTTAGCCTCAATTGCTTTCGTCACCACGATACTAGTTACTGCGGTATAACGTTGTTGACACGATACCGAGGGAGGAAGCGGAAAAGTTTAGGGACGCTGTCCTCGTAGTCTTTGCCAACGAGAATAATTTGATGAGAAAACTACCTTTAATTAAAGTTGGGCAGAGTAGGAGGGTATCTTTATTGGGTGAGGGTTAGTCGAGTTTTAAAATCGCAGAAAAAAAAAATGCAAACCCTTTAAAAAAAACTTGATAATAACTCCTGACCTAGCCCACTTTGTAATATGGGTGAGTAGGGATCATCATTTATAGGGAATGGGGATAATCCCAGGGGTTTTGTATCCTCCATACGGGGCACGAGGGTCTGAGACAATAAGGAAGACATGCAAGTGGTGGTCACAGTTCCAATAATTTCATTTTTGTGTGTGTGTTCTTAGGTTGTCTCTATACATACAGCTTGGATAGCGACGAGCAGATACTATTCATCTCTCCAAAATTCTTTAACGATGGATTTCCGTCGGAGCAGAAGTGCACGTGGCGATTTGTTGCCCGAGAGAAGGAGAGTAAGGTGCATATTACCTTTCTGGAGACACATATAAGAGAAGGCGACAGTATTTCTATTCGTAATGGCTGGAGCAGTGGATCAGTCGTGGGTAAAATAGATCCAATAAATCCCTTCGATCCCAATGGATATGCGTCACAGAACAATTTTCTTCTCGTGGAGTTTAATTCAAAGTCTTCCTTAACACCTGGGATTCATCATCCCAAAGGTTTCCGCGGAATATTCAAAATTATTTCAAATGAAGGTAAGAATCACTGCGAGAAGGTAACAATATCATTGCCTGATAGGTCAATAAGTCTCTCAAGTGGCCTTTGGTTTGCACTACTACGTCAGTATGAGGCAAAATGACACCAAAGAATTTTAAATTGACACCCGGAAAATATCATTGTTGGCAACCATGTTCAGATGTCAGATAACTATAATTATAATTGCTACATAACTGATCAAGTCCTGATAACGAAAGCTTTAGAAAAACATTTCATAATAAAAAAAATAGCGAGATTGAAACATGACGTTTCGGCGACAACATGTCACCATCATCAACTGTAAATTATTATAAGTTCAGTGACGTTATCTAAAGAAAGGAAAGTGTAAAAAAGAGAATGCACATAATTAAATAAATAGTTTTCTCTGGAATTGAGTATTTCTGACTGTTCAGAGTCGGTCTCTTTTTCCTTATTAAAAGCATCTCATAAATAAGGCACTCAAACTTTCCGCGGCATTCCTTAGGATGGCAAATTGCTCGTGAAGATTAATTAAGTCCACGCAGTTATGTAGGTTTTTCATCTGTTCGAATGGTTGCAGTTCCACAGGGTCCTAAGTGGCCAAATGGTACATATGGACTCCCCCGCCCCAGGGCCGGCTGTCCTCCGAGGTCAGACGACATCTTCTGGGAGACTGGGTGGAGGTTTCAGGACACTGAAGACGACAAACCCAGTAATAAAGTATCTGAGAGCTTCCACATGGATGCTACAGTCGATAAAAATTACCTTAATAAAAGCTTTTGCATTGCCACGCAGGATAAGGGAACAGAATGGCCAAAAGGTGAGTATAGTTTATTTAAGCAAGGTTTAGCAGAGACCAGCGGAGTCTACATCCAAATTAGAATTACAGTGATACGCTGACACTAGTTCACACCCAGGGATGCAGTCTCACTGCACTTAATAGCCGTATTAATAAATATATCAAATTGCAAGGTATCGCGGCATTCTTCTGTGTCAAAAATAATGGCAGCACCTCACCATGGATTAGTGACGTGGTATTGTTTTAGATATATTTGATCCCATTGATCCGAGGAAGTTATTTTTTCGCAGGTCAGTATTGCATTTACAAAAAAGGAGCTTGCCCCAAAGGCCTCTCTGAGGGATATATATTGTTTGATGACGAAGACCACAAAAACCAGAATAAGATGGGAGGGACACTTCCAGACGGAATATACAACAAAGATA